CTACCGCAAACCAAATAGGCTGAATGCCACTTTTTCAACAAAATCATAAAACCAAAGTCATCTGATTGTCCGGCTCCTTGCCAGCATTGCGAGCCACCGAGGCCGTCTATGCTTTCTATTCCGAACCATTTATAATCTCTAAAGCCACTCCCGTTATTGCAAGCATTGCAGGCAGCACCTACAACTCGTCATGGCGACAAGTCATGTCAATCGGGTGACCGACTTTGCGTCGCAACGGTTATGCTATCACTCCTCATTTTCTCCTCGTCCCATCACAACTGCTGACATGTTTACATTTCACACCGTGGCGTCATGACACCTGCCGTTTGCCCTGCTCCACTCCCTTTCGTGTGACTAACCCCACTCTGGCCTCCTGTCCGGATCTGCCTCATGGGCCCGTAGTGGTGTGTTGCTTATCTTTCTGGTTGGCCGATTTCACTCGGTTCCAGGCCCAGCCCACTTTCCACCCCAGACGCTATTTCGCAAGCCCTCGGTAGCACATACAAAGTCGCCTTATCCTCAGACCGGCCAGACTATGATTCCCATGTCTGCGGAGATTAGGCATCACCTTAACGCATCATCTCCTCGATTAAGCCCGTGTTCGATGAGCAAACTGTGGGCATCCATCTCTGGTCGCCTGCTCCATCTCGAGACGGTTATTCGCCAATTTGGTCACAATGGCCCATCTCTCTGACCCAATCCCTCTTCCCGGTCACGTGAAACGTCGGACCGCCAAGTTGCAGTTGTTTATTCGAGCTGACTACTCCCACGGAAATCGTCTTCGCTTCATTTCCGGAACTTACTCACCATCTTCTTCCTTGTGATCCCTTTCCCTGTTTTCTCCCAATTTCATCTACCTTTTTCTAATCTACTGTTCATTGAATTTATTCCACCAAGGATGTCAATGGCATCCCCAATCTTCCGTTTCTTTGTGGCGATGAGCCACAAACAGTTAGAGCTATGAAGAATTCCTATGATTTTATTAAGTTAGTAGCTGAGTCGTCGATAGAAAATGGTATCGCTATAGCAACTATGTACA